GTGGGGGCGGTCATGACCTTCATCGTGCAGAGCAGCTCTGTGTTCACGTCTGCCCTGACCCCGCTGATCGGTGAGTTTGTCCTCGGTTTTCTCCTGGCAGCCGCTGCCATTTGTCTGCCCCCCCCTCCCCGCCCCTGCCCGGGCTGAGGCCTCGTGCTGTGTGTTTTTCATGCAGGTCTTGGTGTGATAAGCATCGAGAGGGCATATCCGCTCACGCTGGGCTCCAACATCGGCACCACCACCACGGCCATCCTGGCTGCCTTGGCCAGCCCGGGCAATACATTGCGGAGCTCCCTCCAGGTGAGACGTGCTCCCGGGACAGGGGCTCTCTGGGGGTGGGAACCAACATCCATGGTCTTGGAAACCACTTTCTAACTAGAGCCAGCCATTTTCCAGAGGATGGGTCCAGAAGATGGAACTCAGGTGGGGAAGAGAAGCCTCAGGAAACAGATTTGAGCAATTCAGTATACCCAAGATTAATGAGACGGTTTTTAACTTTTGTGGACTAGATATTTAGAGTCTGCTGTACACTCTATCTTTATAGCGGGTCTCAGTTTGGACCAGCCACACTCCAAGTGCTTGTGCCAGGCCCTGCACTTGGGAAAGAGGTCTAGTGTCTGGCCTCAAGAGCCAGGCTGCTGGGACTCAGATCTCAGCTCTACCAACTCCCACCTGTGCAACTTTGGGAAGCCAGCTTAACAGCGTGGTGCCTCCATTTTCTCATAGGTCAAGGGATGATGGTTGTCACTTCATAGGGTGCTTGAGGAGGGAAATAATCCACAGGACATAACTCGCACACAGCAAGGGTTCTCTAGAAGTAAACTGCTGCTGCTATTATGTTTTAGTAGCTAGAACCATCCTTCCCTTTTCATTGCCCTTGAGCTATGAAATCAGTGATCCCTTAAGCTCTTCTTTCTTTCTGCCCCACCCACTCTCAATGGCTCTGCCAAGGCCCTGGGCAGCAGGGGGCCTAGAGGATGGCTGGGCCCTGAACTCTGAGCGTGATTCACTCCGTCACCCACTCCTCTACCTTCCCTCCTGGACACCTAGTAGGTCCTTGGAATATAGGTGCCCTCTGAGCTGGGTCATAGAGACATGGAGGCCATGACCTTCTGCCCATGCCCACTAGCTGATCCTCCCACCATGCCCCCCAGTCACCTGCCTGTCCTCTTGCCTTGCAGATCGCCCTGTGCCACTTTTTCTTCAATGTCTCCGGCATCTTACTGTTTTACCCGATCCCATTCACTCGCCTGCCCATCCGCCTGGCCAAAGGCCTGGGAAACATCTCGGCCAAGTACCGCTGGTTCGCCATCTTCTACCTGATCTTCTTCTTCTTCCTGATCCCGCTGTCGGTGTTCGGCCTCTCGCTGGCCGGCTGGCCGGTGCTGGTGGGCGTGGGGGTGCCCATCCTCTTCGTCCTCCTCCTGGTGGTGTGTCTCAAGCTCCTGCAGTCCCGCTGCCCCCGCATCCTGCCTAAGAAGCTCCAGAACTGGAACTTCCTGCCCCTGTGGATGCACTCGCTGAAGCCCTGGGACAGCGTCATCTCTTCAGTCACCAATTTGTGCCAGAGGCGCTGCTGCTGCTGCTGCCGCATATGCTGCCGTGTGTGCTGCCTGATGTGTGGCTGTGGCAGGTGCTGTCGCTGCAGCAAGTGCTGTGAGGACTTGGAGGAGGTGCAGGAGGTGCAGGGCATCCCCATCAAGGCCCCCAAGGCTTTTGATGACATAAAAGAGGTCAAGTCCCCAGCCAATGCCCCAGGCCCAAAGATCACCTCTGGCAGTACTGCCTTGTAGAGGGGCCCAGAGGCAGGGGAAGGATCCCAGGTCCCACTTTTTCTGCTCCCTCCCCATCTGCACCCTTCTACCTTCAGAAGATCTGGCCCCTGTTAACCAGTGGAGTTGTCACCGGTCCTCACTCCCTGCTGCCCACCCTGTATACCAGCCTGTGGGCCGGTGGTGTCTCCGCCTCTGGCCCCTTGGTTTTCTACTCCCAGGAAGGCATGGGCCACACTGAGGGAGAATCAGACAGTGAGCCTGGCTGGAGAGATAATCAGATCTGCACCTGACCAGGATGCTCAACAGGACCTTTTCCAAACATAAACCTTCCTCTCTGTTAGGAAAATGCCCCAGAGAGGAGTGTATGGAAGGTTCTCAAAGGTGGATAGGAGTGTGTATGCCTGTGCGTGCACAGAGCTCAGGCATCTCTTTCACCGAAGTGTACCTTCAAGCTAGAGTGCTGCTCCCAGCCAGAATTGCCCCAGATCCAGCAGTTCAGGGAATATGGTGTGATTGTTTGGAAACTTGGGGACATCCAGAGGTGAGGGTCTGCCCCATTTCCTAGTGTTCTGCAATTCCCTGTCAAGGTCCCTCACCTGGGCAGGTGTAGCAGCCTTTCACCCGTGTGGTCTCAGTGGAACAGGTCTCCATCCCTCTCTGCCTCCCCCCACTGCTGTGTGGCTCGATGTTTTTGGTCAGACAGAGTGGTCAACTTCCTTCTATCTATTCACGCATCCACTGGAATCTCTTTCCAAATATTTTTCCAATTTCCTGTGGATGAGCTTTGGTTTCCGGCATCTGTCCATTCCTGTGCCTGAAAATGTCCAGAACTTTCTAGGGGCGGAGAGAGCCTGGTATGCCCAGAGACCTTGCAGTGCAGTACTGTGCACATGTCCATGACTCAGAGGAGCATGGCCCTGCTCGTCCCAGACGCCTTCTCTGTGCCTTCGAGAACCCCTGTCTTAGTCACACTTCGACCACTGACCCTCCACCCTCTCATGTGACCCCAGCCAGGGCCAGGGAGCTACAGCCTGACGAGGGGAAAGGCAGTGGGCCGGGCCGGGCCGGGCTCTGTGACCACGCCCCTCAACAACCACGCCCCCATGACCACGCCCCTTCCACTTCCCCTAGTCTTCACAGGTTGGGGCATCTGACTTAACCCTTCCCCCGCTTCTCCCCATGTACATATCACTTCCCAAATAGAGTCATTTATATTCTATATTTATAGTCACGCATTTGTACAGCATTTGTCCTAAGTTATATAGTAAATGATCAGGGGATTTGTGCCTATAGTGCTGTCATTTGGAAATAAGTCTCCTATGCAATGTAAGGAAAGAGCCTCTTTGTATATTTTGTGTTACTGCCTTTCAAACCCGCCTCTGTGGCCGCGCCCATGCCGCACATGCTGTAAATAAGTAGTTTAAACCTGGGCAGGGGCTGTGACCATCTTTGCACTCTGATTTTTAAAAATTGAATCCTTGTATTTTCATTGATTGTATTTTTTTACCGGTTATGGGAAGGGACAAATAAAGATAATCAAACCCCAAAAGGAGTGTGTTGCATTCAAATACAGGGAAATAGGGACCTCATTCGGTCTAGTTCCTAAAAATCGTTGAGTTCTTTGTTCACTTAA